TAGAAAAAAAAAAAAATCAGCTGATCCAAGGGTCATCCTGTGATTTTCATGGAGTGACTCGTGATTTTCCAGGAGAGTTGCTGGGCAGACCTTAAAGATCGCTGCCTATGTGGGGATACTAATTCTAAAAAGCATTCGGCTCCTCATCAGATGTTGAGGAGCAAGGCGCGTTTTCATTTTTCCTGCACATTAGCCAAATTAAATCAAAATAAATATCAATGAAAATATTGCACAGGACATAAAACCCCATCCATTTGCGCTCTATCCATATGCTGCTTTATGAGACGCTGGGTTTCACGCCTGCTCGGGCTCTCCGCTGCCAGCCTCGAGAGCGCAGCAAGGCGCGGAGTCCCCGATGTGCTTTAGGCATTCATCCCTCAAATACCGCACCCCGGGGCTTGCCTGCGTTTTTGTTCTCACCACACATCTTCGCCAGGATTATTTGTGCCTGCAGGCAGCAGCCGTGGCCGGGATAACGCCTGCCAGCCCGGCTCCAGCCCCTGCCACCGGCTCGGGCTGCACCGCCGCTGCGGGATCAGCCACAAGGTGCATTTCTGCCTGCAAAAAGTCCAATTCCTAAAAGGTGCTTCGTTCGTTAATTACCTTCCGGTGGTTCGGACAAAGCGAATATTTACGTGCCCGGGAAGTTGTTTCTTAGGGCTGCTGGTGTGTTCACACCGAGGTCCCTCGCTGTGCATCTGCATCGGAGATGCCGCCGTTCCCTGACTGCGTGCAACCTGCCTGCAAAGCAAAGCACGGAACACCCGCTAAAGAAAGCATAAAACGGAACTCAGGATTTAAAAATGCCAGCTGATTGTCGGCTGAGGAGCAAGAATAGCGATTTCTGCTTTTAAAACTGGTGCAGTTTAGGGTAATGTGATTAGAGATTCAACATTTTCCCCTCTCATTATTATTTAGCTCCCTCATTTGAATGCTCAGGTTTGAGGGAAGGGGGATTGCTTGGAAATTACACACACAGCCAAATTTCTTCCTTCCCCTTTGACAGGGCAGCGCTGACGGTTATTGTTCTTTTCTAGCTGCATTACGCTGTCCTTGATTTTTGTTTCAAGCAGTCTAATGGCATGATGTCAAATCCTGCTAATTGGTTTAGGATTAAAATGCAGGGCCACATCACTCTCTTGATTAACCAGCAGCAAAACTGCTTTTGTCTAATGATCGTTTCAGAGGAGAAAGAAAATAAAGCATATAAAGGAAGCTTCAGGCTTTTGTCAGTGAAAATACATAGGAAACTGCTTTTTTTTTTTTTTTTTTTAAGGGGAAAAAAAAAAATTGCCACTGCTAGGCCCGCTAAGTTTTGACTTGTAGCAGTTAAAAAGCAGCCCTGCAGGGAAAGATCGCTTCCTAAGGAGCAGAGACTGCTTTTATCCAGCATCCAGCCACTCGCTGCGCCGCACCAGAGAACCCACGGCTGGACCTTCTCATCTTTAATAAACCGGCAGCAAAAAAATCAATGAGGACGTCTCAGCCCCTTTTCTGGCCTCCCTGACACCCAAACGGCTCCAGCCCCAGCTGAGTTTGTGGTGGGATAAATAACCCGGGACCGAGCAAAGGCTGCGGCGGCCGGTGCAGCGCCGGGGAGCTGCTGGGAGCTGCGGGTGCCAGTGGGGACCTGAGTGGGTTGCGGGATGCCTGGGGCCATGGGGAGGGAGGGGGGGGTTTGCATCCCTGGCATCCCCCTTCGCTCACCCCCCACGACCACAGAAATTAATTCTGCAGCCCGAGATGAGGCTGTGTTTGTCGGGACCGAGCTCACCTGTTGGGTGATCAGCACAGAGCCAGGACAAGCAGTTTTTCCACCATAGCTGTGAGGATCAGGGATTATTAGGCGGAGAAGCAAGGGATGCATGGTTCAAATTAAAATGAGGCCTGAAGCAACATTAAACCACTACTTTGTTACCCCTCTGCTAAAAAAAAACCCAACAAACCCACAAGAAACGCCCCCATCAACCCCCGAAGATTCTCCCTGTTTAATCTCTTTGGCTCCTGTTTTCCCTGACCAGCTGAGGGATTTAATTTCCAGGGAATTAGACGTCCGATTCAGGGTATTGTTTTGGGAGCTGTGCACATGATTTGCCACACACAGTCCTGAAAGTCACTGGCGGACCCAGTGCTCCCAGCACGCTCCCGGCCCGGCCCCGCTCTGCCAGGAGGTGAAAGGGACTTTATTGGGAAGGTTTTGATGCATTTGGCATGTCTTTGAACCTGGCTTCCCCAAAGGGAGAGAATGAACTCAGGCAGAGAAAGAAAAAGGAAATAAAAGGGCCCTTCCCATCTGCCCCCTTGCATTCAATGGGGAGGTTTTTAAAAGGTATAATAGAGGTTTGTGTGTTCCTGCTGAGATTTGTTCTGGTCAACTTCTCCGGGGCGCTCAGACGGGGCGGCGTGGTGTGCCTGCCCTCCCCCAGTGCCCTCCAAAAGAAATTATGGTGGGATTTTTTTTTTTTTTTTTTAATTTTTTTCTTGCTGCTGCAAAAAGTGCGCGCCGTGCACACACGTTGCTCTCGCACAAAAGCGACTCGAGCCAGCACCACTGAAAACAAAAGTGGTTTTTTTTTCTGGGTTTTCACCAGCAGCGCAGTTAAGCCTGGTGTTCCCGAGCGTGGCGTCGAGGCAGCCAAACTCCAAACATCCCTGCAGGATCCAGCCCAGGTTTTCTTAGAGAGCATCTCCAGGATGGTGGGGACAGGGAGCATCTTAGTGCTCAGCCCAGTTTTACAGCATCCTGTCCCGGAGGTAAATCACCAGCAATAGTGGCTGTACTCCAGAAGTTGTCCTGCTCTTTACCGTGCTTCGCAACTTGTCGGTGCAATTATTAAAAGCAGGGTTAGATGCAAAGCTGATATTTTTTAACGTGATCCTGGCCCCAGCACAGATGAGATGACATTTAACAACACTAAACACTCAAGAAGGGGCCCCGTGTCAGCACCCAACAGGTACAAAAAAGCCCAAGAAGTTCTTGGCTGTGGTGAAGGGCTTTCTGCTTTGCAAACTATGATAGAAAGAGTGGAAATATGTTTTGTCTCCTTTTCCCTGACTCTGGGACTCCAAAGCAGGAAGATGAGAACATCCTGCACACATGTTAATTAGTCATTCCTTAAAACCAAATGTCACAGCGCTCATATTTAATTCCAAGAACAGACTGATGAATATGTACGTATAGTTATATTTCATTTACATACTCTGGGATTTGTTAAGAGACGCCTAATAAAACCATCTAAAATGAATTAGGTCTTCTCCTACTAACATTTATTTTGAATACACATTTATCAGAGGAACATTCCCAATACTGTAATAGGAGATTTTCGCAGAAACAAAATACATATATTACATTTCATAAATGCAGATAGTGAGTTAAAGCAGCCACCCTCTAAATGAGAATGGATTCTTGATGTGGCAAGCACACAAAAAAGGGGCTTGAGAGTTAGGGGGGAGGCAGTGATTGGGTTTATAGGATCCTGTCCAAAGAGGCTGAGGCTCAGCACCCAGAAGGCTGTAAGAAAGTGTCCACGTAAGGGAGATGTTAAAGGAACTGAATTATATCCTTAAAGTCATCAGGAAAAGAAAATCCCTTTGAGACTTTTGCATCCTCTTATTTTCAACTTCCTAGTTCTGCACCTAATGCCATTTTTTAAAAAATATATTTTTTCCTTTGCTCAGAGCCCCTACCGCTGGAATGGGGTGGCATCCAGGTAGCTGCACTCAAAAAAGCCCTTGCAGCCTGAGAGGCCTTTCAGGGATTTTTTTCCTTTTCAGAACAATCCAGTTTATAAGGAAAGCACTGTGGTTTTGGTTTTCTACTTTCCCCCACTCCCCAGCTGCCCTGCACCCTGTGAGCTCTCGGGGGGCATGAAAGTGTGGCTGCTCGTCCTGGCGGGCACATCATCCGTTCGACAGGTCCTGCCGCGGGAATTCAGCTCACACTCCCGCTGGTGTGTGAGTCTGGAACAAATCTGGCTCACTCGCCCCGCGTTGGCTGGCCTCTCTGGGGCTAAGAGGAGTGGAAAGCAGTAAAATCTCCTTTCAGTCTATAAAAATCTGCAGAGATATTTGGAATGTGCAGAGGGAGCAGATCTCCCGAGTAAACCAGAGCAATGATTAAAATAGTCACTTTTCTGACCGTAACCGCAATTTAAATACTGCGGCTTTTGTTTGCAGAATAGCTATGGTTTATATTCTAGTGACAGTCACACAACTCCAGGGGTTGTTTTCAGAGTTAGTGGCAAAAACATGTGGTTTGAATTTAAAGTCTTAAAGTTAGAGGATCAACGTTACTCCAGCAAAGATATTGCCAGTGTCTCTGCGAGTCATAATTTTAAATCATCAGGAACCTGAAGACTCCTCATTAAATGATTAAAGGGAACAGTAATGAAAAAGCTAAAAGAAAGGATAAATATACAGCCATATAAGCAGGAACATCTATTTTCAAAGCAGAAAAAAATATTGCCATCCTGACAAAAGGCAATAAACATATCAAACTAACTCCTTTTTTTTTTTTTTTTTTTTTTTTTTTTTGGCCAAGAATGTAATCTTAATAAAGCAACAAATTTTAGATGGCAGGGTAAGATTACAGCTCTTCTAGACTAGGACTAGAGTTGTCCCATAAACAGGTTATTGCTACGGGTTCCAGTCACAGTTAACTCTATAGTTACGTCCCACTTCCCGAGATTAAAATGATCCCTGAGATGAGGTGATTTGATGGTGAAGTTTTCCATTGAGGTATCAACCTTGTTTCTGTTCTGAGCTCTGCATTTACATTTTCCCCAGTAACAACGGCCTCAACACAGACCTCCCAGACCTCAGCCCATTCCCAGAACAGACAGTGGGACACGGAGATCGGAGCTGGGATGGGTTTTGCAGGGCATCATCAATTTACATGGGAGAGGAGCAAAGGTACCCTCCTTCCCAGCCATGGTTGCATTGCTTTTGTCACCCGTTTGCCCCCTCTCTGTTTAAGAACATACCTCAGCTAAGCTGCTTTCTCATTCGTCAAAGTCAGACAGGTCATGGGCTGCCCAGCTCTCCAAGCCATACTGACCAGTTTCAGTAAGTCCTGAAATGGGAACGATCACGATCACGGTTAACGAAGACATGGCTAGTCAAACCCTTGGTACGTTGTGTTTACAGGAATTGCATTGGGTGGGTTGCAGTTTTGGTCTTTCAGTGCCTGTTTTGGAGGAAAAAAAGTGAAAAAATAAAAATAAAATATAAAAAAATGGGTAAATGTTTGACTTAGGCATTATGCAAAATATATAAATATAAATACATGAGGCTTGCCGCAGGAGGGAGAGCCTGACTGTATCGATATATTGGCAAGAATGCAAGGGTTATATTTGAAATGTAGAAAATAATCCGGTGAGTCATCTTCCATACGCTTTGGCTTGGGATCCTCTCCTGTTTTCGCTTTGACCCAGGAGGGCACAGCACACAGCCTGAAAATAGGCAGCGAGATGACGTAGCGTGGCTGCACCGCTCTGCTCCTTGCAGGGAAGCGCACCAATCCCATCCGCAGGCATTCAGGAGGGATGCTCAGAAAAAGTCTGAAAAATGCTGCTACCATAGGCATTGTCATGTTTTTCTTTAAACCATATTCCACCACCTAACGGAAATAAGCAGATTAGAAGAATACTCCCCCTAGAAGAACTGATAATTAGATCGATGGCACATAGAAATGCAACACGCAGAGTCATCGCATTTCTAGTCCCTGGATAAAGCAGCCATGTGCTACCTTGGATTACAAACCAAATCAAGAACAAAATCAGCACAAGAAACTGGAAGCACATGCATTAAATGTGAAAATGAAATTTTGGATTGTAACATTTGCAAATATAAAATAGGATTCAGCCTTAGGCTTGGTTACAGATGACCTGTCCGTGGCATCTTGTTGAAACTGAATCAGCTATTTACCTTCCAAAATGGCTCTTTTCTAGCAGACTTCCAGGGCCAGGCCATTTCTTCCAAAACAAAGTTGCTGTGGTCTGCCCTGAATGTGTCTTAATGCTAACGGCCAAGGTGGGCACCCAAAAGCAGAGACCCCAACAGCTGGGTCACCAACCTCTCTTGCAGATGACTTTCCCGGGCTCTGCTCTCCCAGCTGCATCAACAAGCTGCTTTTAGAGGAGGCCAGAACTGCCCACAGCATCCTGTGGTCACTGAGGGGTACACTGCTCCCCAAATCAGGTCCTGGGCACTTAACTCCTCTGCAGTGACCCTGTGCAACTTGGCTTGGGACACCCTCCCCTCCCCGATGTCCCTAAATATGAAATGCAATTCCCAGGAGGAGGGAGCCTGCGCTCATGTTTTTGTATTAATCTGCTGCCTTCCTGGAGATGGAGACTGATGGATTCACCCTGTTCTGCTCCGCTGTTATTGAGCACCAAACCCCTGACTCTCACCAGCACAGGTGTCTGTTGGTCAGGTTGAAGAAAATTTGAATTTATATATACATATATGTACACACATATGCACACACACACATATATATGTACATATAGATACACAAGACTGCAAGCAAAAGTTATCTAAACCTCTGTGATACTAAAAAGCAATTCCTCATCTGTATTTCATATCTGAGCAGCCAAGACATGACCCAGATAGAGGATTTTAATGAGCGCAACACCTGGGCTATATAAGGGTAACTTTCTCTTCATCCCACCAGTCTCCTGTCCTTACCCAAGCTTGACTATCACATATCAGCCATAGGGCCCTTCATGAACTACCAACATACTCTGTTCCTACTTAGGATATCAGTTACACTCATTTTTTATGCAGTTTATGGTCCCCTGCGTGTTGTTACCAGTCCTAAAGCATCCATATGTGGGGCCTTAATACCACAGGTAGCTGGCTGGGGCACATTTGCAAGAGCAAGCTTCCATCCCCAGCCTGCTATCTCTCATCTTGCCAGCTTTCATTTGGCTTCATGGGTTTTTCCATCAAAAGGAACTAGCATTTAAAAAAAAAAAAAAAAAAAGAAAAAAAAAGATTGAAATCTTAAGACCTATCTATTAATTTACTTTTTTCTTTCTTTCTTTCACATTGGAATGAGTTATCTCAGAAATTTGTCAAATCTGGCTGTTTCTTAATTTATTCTCTCAGTCCAACTGCTGGTCACAGTCACGCATGGGACACCATGACCAGAGGGCTTGGTCTCAGCCTCAGCTTTACATAGAAGAAAATTCCCTTTTCACTCTGCATCCATACATACATGAATTATACGTACAATATAGACGACTGCTAAACAGTAGCAAGGGTTTCAGCACGTTCACTAAAGAGGTTGTTTTTAAGTAATTCCTCCATGAATGAGAAAGTAACCAAGCTCTCAGTCCAGAAGTATCCCCAGGGTCAATCTGGTTTTATTCTCCCCTGTCCTTGATATATTTTGCTTTGCAAGTGATAGAGGTAAGAGGGGTACTTATGAGGCAGCATAAACTCCTTCGGTGTGCTACTACGTGCCTTCCCTTGGACAATTTATATTACAGAGAAGATACAAAGAGGCAATATATTTGGAACAGTTGATTAGAGGACTATTGCTCATATAGGCAAAACATAACATTTTTAATCCCATCCTCATTTGATTTTTAAGAAAAAAAAAAAAAATGATCTCTGTATCTTGGCATATGCATCATGTTGAAATGGAGCCATTACTCTGGACAGCTTTTTCACAATGGCTCACATAATATGGTATGAAAATCATGCTCCTGTGTTTGCATCTCAGAAGGAAAATAAAAGGCAGTTAAATTATAATGCAAGAGCTAAGCTATGAATGGATGTTGCATTCAAGGAGTCTAATGCTTAAGAGGGGGAAATGACAAGATTTTTTTTTTTTGCTGTTCTGGATATTTTATCCTTGCAACAAGCTCAACCGTCAAATGTTTTGAGAGAGGTCAAAACTAGTCTATCTGTCTTTTTTATACGAGTTTGTGAAAGGAATCTCTCCTCGTGGAGTTGTACAGGAATTGACACGATAAACCTAAATGGCTCCTTTACAACTGTTAGGGTTTTCTGTAAACACATGCTGTCCTGCCAGCCAACCAGCTTCAAACCCGGGTGCTGAGCACAGCAGATGGTCTATCCTGCCGATACACACGCTACTAATTCATATTTCAATACACAGCTTTGCTGCCTAAATGAAGCCACTGCATTTTACAAAGTTTTAAAACTTCCAATAACTGGTAATTTTGAGGGGGTTAAATGTGAGGGGAGGGGAAGGCTGCAAAGAGAAGGCGACCGGCTCTAGTTGGAACGGACATTTTGGAGGTGCTTGTTGCACTGTGATGTGTTGTAAGCATGAGCTGTGCCATGCAGTGCCTCCTGCCAAGGGGAAACCATGGCACGGCTGCCCCGTATTAATAGAGGAATACATAAAACCAGAGAAACCAGCCCTGCACCACTCACAAAGCAAGGTGGAAAGAACAGAAGAGGTAAGTGGCGGTGAAAAACAAAGCTACTTGCAGTGATCGTGGTCATAACAACGTGCCATCAGCACAGCCATGTCAGATGATCAGGATTTTCATGGGGAGGGCAGGTTTTGGGGAGGGATGGAGGATAATGCAGTAACTCCAACAGCTGCCTCGACCCTTCTCTCCACCCTGCTGCTGCTGTGTGCAGGAATACATTCTGACATCAACCCTTCAATGTAGAAAACCTTCTCCCTTAGCTAAATTGGACCCTATCCTTCTCATCACCTCCAGCATCCAGTTATCACCTAACAAGTTCAGGTGATGTAGTGCAGTACAAGATAATTGTCTTTCCACTGGGCTGCCAGAGCATGATGTGAAGGGGAAATTGTTACTACTCCTTGAAAAAGATCGGAGCGGGGAATAAAAAACATTTTTTTTTTTTTTTTTTCTGACTTTAAGAAACAGGGAAAGCAGGGTAGCAGGTTTATGATGCTGATGGTACCGTGAACGTCGCAGTGCGCAGACCTGCGGGCACGTCAGCCCCGGGCTCGTGGTTGTGCTTTGCCAAACCTGCCTGGAGCCAGCTGCACCGTCACCGTGTCCTGCGGCCGGGGCACTTCGGTGTCACCAACCAGTGGCTCCGAGGGTGAAGCTGGGAGCAGCCACTGCTCAGCCCTGGGCCCGCTGCTGCTCCTGCCAGAGGTGGACATGAGAGGCACACGCATCCTAAACATCTCCGCAAATGCCTCGAGGCATAGTTCATGCATTTGGCCCAAAGTCCCCACACTGCTGTATTAACTTCTCTCCTCCTCCATCACTGACAACTGCTTATACCAGAAAGAAAAAAAAAAAAAAAGAACTAAAGAACAGAAGGAGTAGCAATCCTCTGCACACATAACCCTCCTCCCTGCAAGGGGATTGCTTCTTGAGTTTCTCCTGTTATGGTTTTATCAAATGTTGCGCCTCCTCCACTGAGCCGTGATAAGTTGGGCAACTTCATCAAATTCAACACAAAGTAGGAGCAGAACCTCCTTCTTAAATTCATGAAATCTTTCTCCCAAAGGAAAAACGCAAATCAATATTGACTTTCTCTTTTTATTTCAATTTACTTACTTTCTCTTCCAGACCCTCAGCTACAGAGATATTGCCAAATCCACAGTTTGTTTCTCTGGCCATAACAGAGAGTGAACAGTTCTGATAAATTTGTTAGAGTGGAAAACAGAACCAAAGCGGCCCTAAGAGAGAGAGAACAGCCATTGTTTTCATACACCATTTTGGCTTTCCTTAGTTAAAGAGTCTCAGATGTGTAATTGGGTTTATTCTTTAAAAAACCAAAAACCAAACAAACAAAAAAACCAAAACCAAAAACAAAAAACAAACAAAAAAAAAACCAAACAAAATTTGGAGGTCTTGTGTATTACTAAAGGGCAGAAACTAAAATCAGGAATTGCCACAGAAGTCACTCACACTGTAGCTAAAGAGAACATAAATCAGGAGAGAGACTTGTAACAGAGTCTTACAAATTAATCACTAATTAAAAAATAGTAGTATGCAATTAAGGAGTGTCCTTTGATAAGCATGCTGCAGTACATGAATTATCTCTATGCAGACACATACACAGCATTGCAATAATATTTTTATATCCTAGGCATAA